AGGCCAGAAGACTCTTGATCTTTTTGCCCACAACATCATGGCTACGTTTGTTTTCCATGATCCCTTTGTATGTAGGAACTCAGTCACTCTTTCTTCCTTTGCTCCCAAGATGTACTATGGGATTTGTAGTGTGCATAGGGCAGTAGGCCACAACTAACGTGCACTGCTCATTCCAACGGGAAGTGAGGGGGGAAAGGAGAGGTTAGGGAGCTCACAGAGGATGCTACAAGAAGGCAGAAAAACTTGGTAAGAAACAATTTCATGAAAATAAATGACAGGGCCTACTAAAATGATTGTAAAGCTTTTCAAATTTTTCATTAAAATAACAAACATGTCAAACCTGCTCAGGTCTTCCACCGTTTTCCCCCCCATCCCCCTCTCTCCCCCCCTCTCTCCCTTCTCTCTCTCACTTCCCCCTATCACTCTCTTCTTTCCCCCTCTCGCCCCCTTCTCTCTCTCCCCCCTACCTCTTTTCTCTCGTTTTTAACTCTCTCTCCCCCCCCCTCTCTCTCCCCCCCCTCTTCTCTCTCTCTCACCCTCTTCTCTCTCTCTCACCCTCTTCTCTCTCTCTCACCTCTATCTCTCTCTCTCTCTCAACCTCTCTCTCTCTCTCACCCTCTTCTCTCTCTCTCCTCTTCTCCCCCTCTTCTCTCTCTCCTCACCCTCTTCTCCCTCCTCTTCTCTCTCTCCCTCCCTCTCTCTCTCTCTCTCTCCCTCCCTCTCTTCTCTCTCTCCCCCCTCTCTCCCACTCCCCCCTCTTCTCTCTCTCCTCCCCCTCTCTCTTCTCTCTCTCTCTCTCCCCTCCTCTCTCTCTCTCTCTCTCTCCTCTCCTTCTCTCTCTCTTCTCTCTCCCTCCCTCTTCCTCTCTCTCTCTCCCCTCTCCCCTATCTCTCTCTCTCTCCCCCCTCCCTCTCTCTCTCCCCCCCTCCCTCTCTCTCTCCCCTCCCTCCACCTCTCTCCCCTCCTCCTCTCTCCCTCTCCCTCTCCCTCTCCCCCCCCCTCTTCTCCCTCTCCCTCTCTCTCCCTCACCTCTCTCTCTCTCCTCCCTCCCTCTTCTCTCTCTCGCCCTCCCTCTTCTCTCTCTCCCTCTTCTCTCTCCCTCCTCGCCCTCCCTCTCTCTCTCTCTCTCCCCCCCCTCTTCTCTCTCTCTCCCTCCCTCTCCCTCTTCTCTCTCTCTCTCTCTCTCCCCCTCCCTCTTCTCTCTCTCTCCCTCCCTCCACCCCTCCCCCCCTCTCTCTCTCTCTCCCCCCCCTCCCTCCCCCCCTCCCCCCCTCCCCCCCTCCCTCTTCTCTCTCTCTCCCTCCCTCCCACCTTCTTCTCTCTCTCCCTCCCTCCCTCCCTCTTCTCTCTCTCTCTCCCTCCCTCCCTCTTCTCTCTCCTCCCCCCCTCCCTCTTCTCTCTCCCCCCCTCCCTCTTCTCTCTCTCCCCCCCCTCCCTCTTCTCTCTCTCCCCCCCTCCCTCTCTCTCTCTCCCCTCCCTCCCTCTTCTCTCTCCCTCTCCCCCCTCCCTCTTCTCTCTCTCTCTCCCTCCCTCTTCTCTCTCTCTCTCTCCCTCCCTCTTCTCTCTCTCTCCCTCCCTCTCCTTCTTCTCTCTCTCTCTCCCTCCCTCCCCTCCCTCCCTCCCTCTTCTCTCTCTCTCTCCCTCCCTCCCTCTTCTCTCTCTCTCCCTCCCTCCCTTTTCTCTCTCTCTCCCTCCCTCCCTCTTCTCTCTCTCTCTCCCTCCCTCCCTCTTCTCTCTCTCTCTCTCCCTCCCTCTTCCTCTCTCTCTCTCTCCCTCTTCTCTCTCTCTCTCTCCCTCCCTCTTCTCTCTCTCTCTCTCCCTCCCTCTTCTCTCTCTCTCTCTCCCTCCCTCTTCTCTCTCTCTCTCTCTCTCTCTCTCTCTCTCTCTCTCTCTCTCTCTCTCTCTCTCTCCTCTCTCTCTCCTCCCTCTTCTCTCTCTCTCTCTCTCTCTCCTCTCTCTCTCTCTCATCTCTCTCTCCTCTCTCTCTCTCTCTCGCCCCTCCTCTCTCTCTCCTCTCTCTCTCTTCCCTTCCCCCTCTCTTCCCCTTCTCTCTCTCTTCGCTTCTCAGATCGTATGGGGCTGCACACACACACACCTCCTCCAAGGGCTGCTGATCTCTGTGCAGCAGGAAGGGGGGGGGGGGGGGGTGCAGCCCCATACAATCTGTCAGTGCAGGGAGGGAGGCAGGGAGATCCCACAGAACACAGCACAGCTCACCTCCTCTGGGTCCTCTCCCTGCTCCAGGCTGTCCCCTGGTCCCGGCTCGTCAGCTGCTGGAGGGAGAGGTACAGCAGCATCGCTCTGCAACTGCCCTCCCCCACATCGGTCCTCCTGCTGTCCGGGCCACTGCAAGAGTACCAAAGGTACCCCTCTGATGGCGGCCCTGCATGGCTCTGTTTGCCGCTTCTCAAACGGTTCTTTCTTCTGGGGGGCGGTGCCACCCCCCTAAAAATTGCCGCCCTAGGCAAACGCCTTGTTTGCCTCGTGGTAGATATGCCCCTATGTGTATGGAATATTTTTTGAAGAATAAAGGTATTGTTTAGCATCAGTAGCAGAGTGGAGAAGAGAAGGGTTAAAGTGGTGAAGGTCTCTAGGAGTAATTGTTAGGCGGTTGGAGGGACTGGTGGCGGAAAACAGAGAGAGAGAGCGAAACTAACAAGACGTTGATCAGAGAGAGGAAGGGCCTGCTAACAGGCCACTGCCAGGAGCAAAGGCAATTAGGAGAGATGTCCAGTGTGCAGGAGGCCTAAAATGTAATGCTTCAAAACTGATAACACTCTAGGGTTGATTTACTAAAACTGGAGAGTGCAAAATCTGGTGTAGCTGTACATGGGAGCCAATCAGCTTCTAATCTCAGCTTGTTCAATTAGGCTTTGACAATAAAATCTGGAAGCTGATTGGTTTCTATGCAGAGCTGCACCAGATTTTGCACTCTCCAGTTTTAGTAAATCAACCCCATAGTTGTGTTAAAAAAAAGATCCATGTTCTTTGCGTTATAGATTTAAAGAGAGCCACTGAAGACTGAATTTAGGGCTCATGGGCACCAAATTTGCTGTGTTCAGATCTGAAATGTGTACACCTTTTTATGGATCTGAATGCAGCTGTATTAAATTCTGTGGCTCCATACACCACACTGTGCAAAAACTCTGTAATCTAGAGTTGCTTTCATTTTATGTGCGTCCAGCCAGGTTCACCGCAGGTAGTCGCTTGCTGTTCGAACCATCATGTATAGCTGGGGCCGCCAACAGACTGTCATTGCACTGTACAGTCTAGCCGGCTGCAACTGAAAATCCCAAGAATTTAGTAGATTGCCATTGAGATTCGCAGCATGGATAAACACCAATGCAAATGTGCAGTAGCCTTATGCAGCCCATACATTATGCATTTTTTTTCTTTCAGCCAGCGAGTTGAATGACAAAAACAATGTGCCATTTGCCCCATTCACATATTCAAGGTGGATGGGGGAATCTCTCCCGCTGTGCTATTGTATCCTCATGGCATGGAGCCTTCCTCACCGTAAGAACACAATAATCAGTGCTGCTGGTTATAGTCGGCAGCACTTATTGTTTGGGAAAAACCCAGCAGGCTGGTTGTACGGAAGTCGATCCATAGATCAACTTCTGTACAACTAGGATGCATATACATGGATTGAAATTTAGCCAGTTTCTGCTGAGCCAATCGAACTTTGATCCATGTATTGCCAGCCTAAGGGGTTGGGATAGTCTTTTAGCAAGCTGCTTAAGGTATTGTGAGTTCCTATGGCACAGAGCCACTCTGACTGGCTCTTTAGAGTTTGCATGTGATCTGCACTGATCCAATGACAGTACACATACAGTACACACAAAGACATTTTAAAGCAGCAATGGGCAAACTACGGCCCGGCGGACCTTTTAATCCGGCCCGCGGAGCGTGGCAAACATCGGCTGTCAGAATGTGTGTAGGCGGGGCAGCGTGAGGAACGTGAGTGGAGCTAGGCTCCTCTCACAGTCCGCCCTGAAGACCGGAACGGTGCGAGGGAACGCGCGGGGAAACACGGCGAGAGGAACGCGCGGAGCAAAGGTAAGTGAATTGACACAGGGGGGACTTGGGGGGACTTAATATGGGGAATGAATTACTATAGGGGGGATGAATTACTATGGGGGATGAATTACTATGGGGGATGCATTACTATATGGGGGATGAATTACTATGGGGGATGAATTACTATATGGGGGATGAATTACTATATGGGGGATGAATTACTATGGGGGGTGAATTACTATATGGGGGATTAATTACTATGCTTACTATGGGGGAATATTACTATACTTACTATGGATGACACATACACATCATTCATCTACTCTTGGTCCGGCCCCCGGGTCCAATATATGAACCCATTGCGGCCCTCAAGTCAAAAAGTTTGCCCACCCCTGTTTTAAAGCGTCTGCTCAGAAGAAAGAGTTCTGTGACCAGCTGTTTAACTACAATGGTCAGTTTTGGGGGGGTTAAATAATGGCCCATATTTAAGAGGAGTGATGTTGTTTGATGTGGTGCACACTCAGGACGTGGGAGCAGGGGCGCACTGACCAATCGAGCACTTGGGCACTGCCCGGGGGCCCGGGGTCAGTAGGGGGCCCCATGAAATGCCCCTGGTACCTTTTTTATAGCCTTTTTTGAGTTTGGGCAAGGACACAGGGGCCCTATGATCCCCTATTGCCCGGGGGCCCCATGAGTTGTCAGTCCGCTCCTGCGTGGGAGCCAACATATATAACCAGCAAGAGGCATATAATCAACATGTCAGGTTCTCATGGACCTCTCGGCTCCAAATCTCAGCTCCAGGGTTAGGCTCTGGCAAAGTAAGTAAATCCACGTAACCAGGCAAATATCAATCTTTCCTAACTCTGAATTGTTCTAATATCTTTGGGCTAGAGATTCAAAGTCTTGAGTAAGATTATTCGTGTTATAGCTGGTTCTTAGGCTGTCCTGACCTGTTTTGTTTTTTTTTTTATCTCCTCTTGCAGTATGTGACATCCCCTCTTTCTACCCATGACATTCCGGGCTCTCCCCATTCGGTCCATATCCTACTGGAAGGGTACTGCAGAGATGTTGGGTCCGATCGTTTCGAGGCTGATGGCTCGGTCACCCTTGTCAAAGGCCCACTGACTGTCCTGGTGGATACTGGTGGCCCGTGGTCCCGTGATATAATCCTAGAGGCTCTTCAGGGTCGCGGTGTGACTCCTTGTGATGTCACCCACGTGATCTGCACCCATGGACACTCCGATCACGTCGGCAACCTCAACCTCTTCCCGAAGGCTGAGATTCTAGTGTCCTACGACCTTTGGCGGGATGGCTCCTACGTCTATCACAACTTCCGAGGAGGAGAACCCTACTTGCTGCCTGGCGGGGAAGGGCTGAAGGTGGTGGCAACGCCAGGTCATACAGGCAGCGATATAACCCTCCTTGTTCCTGGCACCAGTCTCGGCATGGTGGCTGTGGCTGGAGATGTCTTTGAGCGGGAGGGAGATGAGGACTCTTGGAGAGAACTTAGCGAAAACACAGAGGTTCAAGAGAAGAGCAGGAGAACTTTGTTGGGTTTGGCAGATGTGATTGTTCCTGGACATGGACCTCCATTCAGGGTCATTCGGGCTGGACAAGACCCGGACCCCCAATAAAGCCAATTGACTCGTACTAACAAATTTCCCCCACTGCACATTGAGAGCTCTGTTCTCACTAATCCCATTAGAGTGGTTCCTTATCATGTGATCACTATGTCAACTATGACACAGTGATCACATGCAGGTGGAGGGCTTCATTCACAAAATAATTAATTTGCCTGCAAATGGTATTGTCCCTTTATTTATAATTGTAATTGTTAGACAGTGCAGGTAGCAGCCTCGCAGTGTCATCTTCCTTATCATGTGATCACTATGTCAACTATGACACGGTGATAACATGGAGGATGAAGGCTTCATTCACAAGATAAGCCTCTAAAAATGGCATTGCCCCTTTTTTTTAATACTGTAATTGCTAGACACATCATGGCAGGGAGCAAGCCTTGTGCAGTGTCAGCTTTCTGATCATGTGATCTCTATGTCAGCTATGACACCGTGATCACATGCAGGATGAGGGCTTCATCCACAAGTTAAGCCTTTTCCTCTGAAAATGTAATTGTCCCTTTTTTTTAATACTGTAATTGTTAGACACGTCATGGCAGATAGCAGCTTTGTGCAGTGTCAGCTACTAACTGTCAAAGGGGGAACATCAAATAACATTCCTTCAACACAGGGTATTGTACAGGGGAACATTTATCTATAGATTGTGGGCAGGAAGGATTAATGCTTTGCACTGCACACAGCTCGGGAATTCTTTGTGCCAGCAGTAGAGAAGTGCCATCTGGCATTGCCTATATTGGGGACACTTGTACTGCATCCTGGATGAAGAACTCTCGTGAGTAAGAGCTCTGTATGAGCTGGATAAAATTGTATATTTTACATATCAATGTTCAGTAAAAGGACAATGTTGCTTGTGCCAAACTGTAAAACTAAATACTATGCGGGTGGCTTCATCAGCTGGATCAACATGACTAGGGTGCGGTTTTTATCTACACAAAGCAAACGTTTGCTTGTATTTTTGGTGCAGTTTCCAACAAGAGCACCTTCTATGGTGATCAATGGATACATGTCAAGTGAGAAATACATATGCTGATCTTCTAAAATGCTAGCTACCTGGCTGTCATAGTGATCCTTTTATTTGAATAGTATCAGGGTCTCTGACTTAGAACAAGTACACAGAGGAAGGAATTTTTTTGGGGTCTTCTTGCTGGTCCTGTGATGTCCTTCCAAGCTCTTCTTCATCTGTAATGACGTGAGAGTGCTGCCCCTTCCTGGAGCACTGTGGGCCTAGGCTGTATGAGAATCCACCCTCGGGGGCATGTAAACGACAGAATGGGTTCACAGGAATTGGTGTAGTGTTGTTCTGCCCTGAAGAGTACCAATGGCACTGGACTGAGGAGGAAGTTTGGGACATTGGTGAAGCACACAGAGGGTGAGTGAAGCTTGGCACTATAGAGCAGCACAGTGGCTTAGCACTTCTGCCTGGCTGCACTGGGGTCCTTGGTACAAATTCCAACTATAACACTACCTACCTGGAGTTTGCATGTTTCTCCTGTGCTTGTGTGGGCTTCCTCCAGGTACTCTGGCTTCCGTCCACATTTCAGGGACTTGCTGGTCTTTTACTTGTCCCTAGTATGTGTATGTATGAATGTGCTGGGGTCCTTGGTACAAATTCCAACTACAACACTACCTACCTGGAGTTTGCATCTTCTTCCTGTGCTTGTGTGGGCTTCCTCCAGGTACTCTGGCTTCCTTCCACATTTCAGGGACATGCTGGTAGGTTAGTTGTCCCTAGTATGTGTATGTATGAATGTGCTGTGGTCCTTGGTACGAATTCCACCTACAACACTACCTACCTGGAGTTTGCATGTTCCTCCTGTGCTTGTGTGGGCTTCCTCCAGGTACTCTGGCTTCCTTCCACATTTCAGGGACATGCTGGTAGGTTAGTTGTCCCTAGTATGTGTATGTATGAATGTGCTGTGGTCCTTGGTACGAATTCCACCTACAACACTACCTACCTGGAGTTTGCATGTGGGCTTCCTCCCTGGCTTCCTGTTTGCTTGTGTGGGCTTGGTACGAATTCCTCCAGGTACTCTTGTGTGGGCAGGTACTCTGGCTTCCGTCCACATTTCAGGGACATGCTGGTAGGTTACTTGTCCCTAGTATGTGTATGTATGAATGTGCTGGGGTCCTTGGTACGAATTTCCACTACAACACTACCTACCTGGAGTTTGCATCTTCTTCCTGTGCTTGTGTGGGCTTCCTCCAGGTACTCTGGCTTCCGTCCACATTTCAGGGACTTGCTGGTAGGTTACTTGTCCCTAGTATGTGTATGTATGAATGTGCTGGGTCCTTGGTACGAATTCCAACTACAACACTACCTACCTGGAGCTTTTGCATCTTCATTTTGCTGTGCTTGTGTGGGGGTACTTCAAACTCCTACCTACCTGGAGGTACTCCTGTGCTTGTGTGGGCTTCCTCCAGGTACTCTGGCTTCCGTCCACGTTTCAGGGACATGCTGGTAGGTTACTTGTCCCGTGTATGTATGAATGTGAGTTAGGGAGCTTAGACTGTACGCCCCTTGAGGGCAGGAACCAATGTGATTATACAGTATGCAGAGTGCTATGTAAATTGTCAGCACTAAATTAATAACCTGTAGTAATAATTATTATTATTATTATTATATAGTATTTATATAGCGCCAACAGTTCGCTCAGCGTTAATAATAATGGGGGGCACTAATAAGAAAAAGAAAATCCTTCAGTTAAAGCAAGAGGGTCACCAAGACAGCTGGGCAATGTGCATTTTTAGAAGGAGGCAAGCAGTAGCAGGTCTCATTACTTCTTTTATGACATATTTGAATGGTACTGAATGTAAAACATATCAAAAAGACACCTTAGCAAGTTTAGAATCCAGAAGGATAAAACGTAGGGACAAATTATTATTACTATTATTATTATACAGGATTTATATAGCGCCAACAGTTTGCTCAGCGCTTTACAAAATGAAGGTAGACATTACAGTTACAATACAATTTGATACAAGAGGAATCGGAGGGCCCTGATCCTGGGAGCTTACAGTCTAAGAGATTGCATTAGCATGTTGTAAATTGTTTCAGACTTTCCCTGCGTTATCAGAATAATTGGCTGGACATTTAATTGCCAAACATTTTGAAAGTTCAAGTTTTAGTTAACAAAAAAATTATAAAGTCTTTTTCCTTTCCCAAATTATATTAATACATTGAAAAGAATATTCATAAATAAAATTAAATAAAAATAGAAATAGACACACTTTTTGTTTTTCACATGCACAATTTTAGTGTTTGATGTGACTCACTATGTATGGCACGATTTTCCTTTTGATATAAGGATAATACACTATGTTGAGTTTTTTTTGGTTTTTGAGGTATATGAATATTTGGACATTACTTGAAGATTGAAAATAAGAGAGATATTTTCTTGGAAGAAAAAAGAGGACTATAGCTTTTTGGAATTGCACCTGTGGACATTTGGATAAGGAAGATATTTATTTATATCTATTTTTATTCTATTTATGATTATTCTTTTTAATGTATTAATATAATTTGGGAAAGGAAAAAGACTTTATAATTTATAATTTTTGTTAGCTTTCAAGGGTGAAAGTGAATGTTTTTCCTTGGGTTTATTTCAATAATTTAGAATTAGAGTGTGCTAATTTAGCTACTTTTAGTTAACAAGCTGATATCTGTTACAACAACCCTTCTTATATAAACCAGACTTCAAACGTACCTCATCCTTCATATATCATATAAAGAACCATAAAAACCAAATGGGACTTTACTGGTACAGAAATGGACAACCTCCTATTGTTGTGTAAAACATGTTTATTGAAACATATCTTCCAAAAATTTACCATAAAAACAGTATTTCAGCTTGTCATCCCAATATATCACAACATTGTATATCATGACATCAAAGTTCTCTAGAGGTCTCTGGATACTTTGATGTCATGATATACAATGTTGTGATATATTGGGCTGACTAGCTGAAATACTGTTTTTATGGTAAATTTTTGGAAGATATGTTTCAATAAACATGTTTTACACAATAATATGAGGTTGTCCATTTCTGTACCAGTAAAGTCCATTTGGTTTTTATGGTTCTTTAAAGGTTACAACAACCCGTCGTTGTTTAATAATCCTTGGGCCTGAGTCGTCACACTAGAAATTCTGTAACTGGAAATGCCCCACCAGTGATAGAACTACTGAAACATAACTCGCCTTATCCTATGGCTTATCCAGGAGCATATTTTCCACAAGGCATTTGCCTAGGGCGGCATCTTTCAGGGGGGCCGCAGCATTTTTCAGGGAGGCAGCGGCATCCCCCTGAAGAAGGGATGGAAGAAGAGACACACGCAGCATGGGGACCAGGTGGGATCTGAGAGAGGCTGCAGACTGCTTGATGGTGTATGTAGAGCCTGACTTGTTCCCGGGGATGTCCAGAGCTGTGAAGGTGTCTTCTCTCCCACCGGGGTGGGGGGGTTGCCAATGTATGGGGGGCAGTGGTAGTGGAAGGCTCTCTCGGGTGGGGGCTGGGGTCTTGTTGGTCAATGTCAGGCACTCTTCATGGGGGAGGGGGGTGTTGGTCGGTGTCAGGGTCTCTCCGTGTGGGGGACGGGGGGGATTTTTGTGTTGCCTAGGGCAGCACAAAACCTAAATATACCACTGGGCTTAGCTCCTTGCTGTGCCAATACAAGTGAATGCTGTCCATGATACTTGTTTATTTACGCTACCATCCAGATTTTCAGGTTGAGCATTTGGGAGTAATCTCCCTTCTTCAAGGTCCAATCACCACTGCTTGGCCGTTGAAGAAGCAGTACACCCCAAAAGCTCGTCCTGAAAAATTGGATGTTAGTGCAAATAATAAAGTATCATGGACAGTACTCGATTGTTTTTGTTAGAAGTGCGCTAATATGGCTGCAATCAGGTCATGTGTGCTGTGCCAAAAAACCACTTAGAGCCCATTCACACTATTATGTTTCACTGTAACATGTTATATGCATTGTGCTGCCATTCATTTTTG